CCCCCCCCCCATCACCTGCCCAAGCAGCTTCTGGAGCGCAGGGCCTGGCCTGACGGGGAGGGCAGCGAGGGGACCCGGGAGCAGACAGGGCCCGGCCGTCTGCGGCCAGGGAAGCCTGCCGGAGGGGGAAGCCTGCCGGAGGGGGAAGCCTGCCGGAGGGGGAAGCCTGCTGGAGCTACCAGGTGAGCCTAGTGATGGGCAGGGAGTGGCCAAGTGCAGGAGGAGGGGACAAAGTCTGAGGCAGACCAAATGTGTTGTTCAAAGAGCCAAAAGTCAGGGAAAGAATTCGGTTTGGGACATGGTTGGAGCAGAGGGCACTGGTGAGGGACAAAGCTGGGGAGAGTGGCCAGGCCTGAGGGGGCGCGGTCAGCCCCTGAAGGAGTCTGGGCCTTCCATAGGGATGACCACGGGGGGCCCGGGCTGTTCCAGCTGTGGAGGGGCCTAGTCTCCTCTGTGTTTTACGAAGCCGTCTTTAGCGGCTGCCTAGAGAATGTCCTGGAGGGGACCAGGCCCGAAACCAGGTCTAAGTCAGTCAGGAGGCTTGCTCGGACAGGGCCGGTGGCGGCCAGAATAGACAGGCGGGAGGAGAAGGGGGCTGGGCTGTGGGTTCTGGAATATGTTAAGAGGGTAGAATCCACTGGTGAAGCTTGAGTGGGTGATTCAGAACACCTTAATCCAGGAGATGAGACTGCCGCAGACAGGGCTGGGAGTGTGAACCCGGCAGAAAGAAAAACCTCGCACTCTGAGCCCAGGGCCCCAGAGAGCTTGACCCCTCTCAGCTTTCTGTGTTGTTGGTCGTCAACTGTTTCACTGGTCAGAAGCTAAATCCAACTCCAGCTTCAAAATGTAGACGGTTAATGCCAATTTTTTAAAAAATAATAATTTAAGAACTTGCTTGTCTTAGTCAAAAAAGGCATCTTACTAATCCACAATCATGTAGAAAACCAATTATGACCAGGGAGTGTCTGAGTGGGGTGTGCACACTTGGAGATAATGACGTGTTTATCTTTATTAAGATACAGTCAATAGACATTATATTAGTGTCAGGTGTGCAAAATAGTCAACACTAATATACCTAATGAAGCGATCACCACACTGGGTCTAGTCGCCATCACCCAAGGTCATCACCACATTATTGACATTACATCCGAGCAACTTCTTTCTTTTATACCTGGACATTTGTACCTCTCATTCCCCTTCATGTTGCCCTTTATTTTCCACAAGTGTGCAAAATCGGATCTGCTAAGCCTGCTGCCTAAACACAATGTCCATGGCTCGCATTTCCAAGCCCAATGTTAAAACCACGAAGCTGGGCCCTTCTCTCTGTCTCAGTTCTCTGTGGTCCTTTGAATGAGCCTGGCTGTCCATCTGTCTGACTCTCCCTCTCTCTGTCTCCCAGAAAGAAGGAAAAGCTTCCTAAATGACCTCATCTTATTTTGAAACACGAAACCCACCAAAAGGGGAAGAAAAAAACACACAAAACGCCCACTTTCTTGGTCAAAGGGATCAAGATGTATTTCTAACTCTCTTGCCATATGGTAACTTATTTTGGAAGCATATCAAGAGGCAGGGAGAGTGTTTGACAAAATTGGCGATGCTTGTACAATCCCTTCAAATCAGACCCAATTCCCACGATATACATTTGCCGCGGCCCCTTCTATCCATCACATCAGCGACTGTGACCACAGGATATGTAAAAATATGCAGCGATTTTTATCACCATCTCCCAGTCCCCGGTGCCCTGGACACCACGTGGTGTCGAGTTTGTCTGCGTTTCACCCCCAGGAAATCAAGTCGTTAAGTTCCCTTTCATTGACCAAGAGCGGTTGCCAGAAAGAAAGTCATTCATCGCCGGGGACTTATGGGAAGAAAGAGAGGGTTTCACTAGGAGGAGACAGCAAAGGAAGAGCAGCTACGGGTAGCTTTGCTCCCTGGGCGCACGCAGGAGGCCAAGTTCTCGGGGCATCCCGCCCCCACACTTCCAGGAGCCACTCCCCAGGTTGCCCGACAGAGGAAGCCACATGTGAAGATGATCTTAGAAAGTGGGGGGCCCCTTCGCCTGATGGCTGAAGGGGCCCCATGTCTCTGTACCTGGCTGGCTGGCGGAGGGGAGGCGCCCCGAGGCTGGGGGCTCACCTGCGCTGTTCGGGGGGGTTCATGGAGAGGAGGGAGCCCAGGAGCCCAGGGCCTTACCTTTGCATTCTTGACATTCTGTGCAGCTCCATGTCGTCGCTGCCCCGGAANCGCCCCGAGGCTGGGGGCTCACCTGCGCTGTTCGGGGGGTTCATGGAGAGGAGGGAGCCCAGGAGCCCAGGGCCTTACCTTTGCATTCTTGACATTCTGTGCAGCTCCATGTCGTCGCTGCCCCGGAATCCTTTGGCAAAGGGGTTATTCTCAATCTTCAACTGAGTGATCTAGAGAAAGAGAGCTGGTGTTTACATGATCCCCACAAGGCAACCTCAGGACAGCAGCCGAGACTGTTGCAAAACGCACGCAGCCTCTGGCAACCAAAAAATAAATAAAATTCGCAAATCGAGCCAGTCCCATCAATGGGATCCCCACCCCCACCCCGCCACTTGCTTCAGGTGGAAGCTTTGAAAAAATGACCTAGATCAGACTGCTTTTAAACAGAGAAAAATTGAGATGGGGTTTGCCCATTAGAGTCACACTCGACATCATTTCCTAGTTTCAGGTGGATTTTGCTAGCTCAGGTGGAAAACGGTGTCTAATTAAATAAACACCAACGGGTAGAATTTAACATACACAATGGTGTGGAACAGCTGCCAAACCGCTCTAATTTTTTAGGCAAGGAGGAGAGGGCCCTCCTCTTGGATATCTTTGTTGTGATGTACAAAGTTCAGTCACAGGACGGGGTCTTTGGTTCCAGGCCCGGAACATGCATGTCAACCATCAACATATATTCCATTAGCAGGAGTGAACAGCAGCAGACCCAGAGGAGAGAGCACCTCCATCTAGCATTTGCCACAAGTACCTCCTGAAAGCCGGGCGTGAGTTAATTTCTACAGGTCATGTTGCTCTGCGGACACCAGGGCAGCGTACGTCAGGGTTCGGTCACTCGAGCCTGACCTTCCCCGTCACCGTCGTATCTAAATCGCACCTGTACACTCGTCTGTTTCATGTTTTTATTTCAACCTAATCACCTTTTACTTCGATTTATTTCATGCAAAACATTCTATCCCGTCTCTCTCTGTCAAACCAGCGTCACTTGCTGGTGGAAGGAAAGAAAACAATCGAATCCAGCTCTCCCTGCTGGTACCCGCAGGCGGCTCCACGCCAAAGGCCTGCTTTCTCCGCTCCGAGGGGAGATGACGCTTTCCCAGCCGCCTGTAACCCAAGGGCACTCGCACTGTCGCCCTGGCGTTGACCAGAAAGACCGTCAAAGGGGGACGTCCTGTGATTGCATCGTATTCAAGTAACCCCCCCAGTCACCTCATCTGCGCCCCGCAGTATCGTTGGAGACTTTGGGAAACTGTGGAGTGGGCGTAATTCACGAAGGCGCCCTCCAGTCAGCCCCTCTGGGGGCAGGCGTTCGGGTCTGTTGTCCAGAAGACGCGGCTAATTGGGGGCGTCTACCCCCACCATCCTGGACGGGCGTCGGAGTGCGAAGTGCGCATACGTGCGTGTGCATCACAGCGATATATGTGGGTTGAATATATTTTAAAACACGTGCTGTGATTCCAATCGTATGACGTTTTGGAAAAGACAAAACTAGGGAAACAGTAAAAAGGTGAGCGGCTGCCAGGATTGGAGGGGAGGGAGGGAGGGATGGGCAGGCAGAGCACGGGGGTTTTAGGGAGGAAAGCTACTGTTAGGAGCCTGGAATGGCGGGCACTGTCATTAAGGGTTTGTCCGGGGCCACAGGATGGACAACACCGAGGGTGAGCCCTCACGGAGACTGGACTTTGGGTGAAATGACCCGTCAGTATCGGCTCAGCGATTGTAACAGATGTCACACTCTGGTGGGGACATTGATAAGGGGGGAGGCCTTCGTGTTTGGAGGCACATAGGAAGTCTCTGTACTTTTTGCTCCATTTTCTTGGGAACCTAAAACTGCTCTAAAAAAAAACACTAAATTTTTAAATACGTATGTATGGGTATTTATGTGTATACACATTTCCTCTCCCTCATTTTAAAAAACACACAAAACTGTACCCATTCCTGCAGCTTTCTGATTTCAATGTGACTCTTCAGAATGAGTAGAAAAGTCCACAAAATCCCTTTAAAAAATGGTCTTTAAAATTCGGGCTCCTGAGTCCAGTTCTGTTTTGGGTCTGAAAGCCCATCATCTAATAGGTCTTGTCACAATAAAATGCAACACACCTGGACCATGAGTCACTTTTTTTTAAAAGGGCAGGGGATTCTCAAAAAGTTAAGCATTCGATCACTGAAGATCTAATGAGAAAATGAGCTCTTGCCCCACTCCCTTTGTCCCCTCCCCTGCAGTCCCAGCCACCAGTCCCTGAGCGGATTGAAGACAAATGGGAGATGGCATCGGGTCTGAATTAATGCCCAGTTCATGACATCATTGCTCTAGCAAGAGCTCAGGACGAAAATATTAGCCGAGAGAAAAATATAAGGGTGGGTTTGGATATTTTATCGGTCAAAATCGCTCAAGCCCATTTCTTGCAAATAGTTTAGTTGTACCTAATTCCTGCACTTACCGCCAGTCCCCAGAAAATGGGATTGCGCAGGATACATGCAATCTGCTACATGGACACTTAGGTGTGTTGTTCTTGCGTGTGTCTTGCTTTGGAGACTGAATATAGATGCCTACAGGACGTAAGGACGACCCTTGGGAGATGTTAACACGCAAGCTTAGCTGCAGGTGAAAATGTCCGTCTTATTTCGTAATAACGATGTCTTCTTTGTTTCGGCCCAGACAGTAACCCTGCCCTTGACTTTCCCTTCCGATGTGCTGAGTGTCAGCCGGCTCACTCACGGGCACACAAACACACACACACAGATGCACCGTGATGTCTGAGCTGCACCAAAAGGCTCCCCTGAACCTGACTCCACACTCCCTCCGCAAGGAGCCTAAAGCTGGATATCCGGGGGAGGGGGTGGGGGAAAGTACAAATATAAATGCCAGCTCCAACCAGTGAGACAGAGGTTGTAAAAATTAATGAGAATAATTGTTGTGAATTCTTGCTTTTGAAAAAAAAAAGAAAAGAAAAAGAAAAACCTCTCACGAGGGCCAAAAATCTTAATTATGTCTCTCTATTAGGGGTTCATTTCCTGGTCCCAAGCAGAAAGCTCATACCTCATAAATACAGGCTCCTTACACAATGATTTAAGCAGGAGGCAAATGCCTTTTAATGGCAAAGTAAGTTAATATCGGGGGACAGGCGAGCTCGCATACACAGCCATTGTTGCAAGAGCAGGGAAATGAAATGGCCACGTGACCTTTTTTTAACACCTAAATATTTCTAGGGATTGCTCCCGGAGCTGCTGACAACTCCAGCGAAAACCTTACAAAAACGTGTTTCACGGAGCGAGCGTCGCTGGGGAAGATTCGAGTGTTTAAATATCTTTTCCAAGCTGTCAACCATCTGGGGAAATAACTCCCAAATCCAGCTCGGGATCGCAGCTGGGCCGAGGAAACGCGTCGTGTCATTAGCAGCCCGCGTGGACGCCGGCGTGTGACTGCGGCCTGTGGAATGAACCCCGCCGCAGACCTGCGTCCACCTGGTACCTGCGTCCACACAGATCCTTGTCATCGCTGAGCCCTTCTCACTGAAAAATCGGTGGCTCCTACTTTCCCAAATTGCCTTGGCAATTGAATCACACGGATTGCTTTTCTTTCCCTGCCCACTTATCCAAAGCATCACGCTGGGCAGAGAGGCCTCGAACTGACCACATGATCGGTGGATAAACGAAGCCCCAAAGACTAACCTTTTGTGGTTTTGCAACCACGGTAAGAAGAACTTATTGCAAATCTCAGCCTTTCAGATTCTAAAATAGGGTAAGAAGGAGTTTGCCAGAGCCTGCGATTGGGATGGAGCTGCCCTGTTAATAAATTGAGCAGCAACCGAGTAAGACAATGGAATTTCCACTAACACTCCGAGCTAAGCCTGTGCCAGGGTCTATGCCACACCCTTCCACGGGTTATCTCACGGAAATCCTCACAGCGATAACAACATATAAGCCTTCAACTATCCCCATTCTACAGATGGGGAAAGCTGAGCTCGGTAACTTGCTCAAAGTCAAATGGATCTGAACCCAGGCAGTCTGCCTCCGGAGTCCCACCTTAACCCCATGCGGTGGTAAGAGCTCAGGTGGCTTCTACCCATGAAGTCAGGGGTCTCAACACCTGGTCCAGGTGGGACAATAACAAGACAAGAGGCCACAAATAACACTCAGCCCGGCCCGCGGATTTAACACATCATATATCCACGTGGGGCCCGCTGGCAGCGGCCCTGGACCTGAACTGGAAAACTGAACTGCTTTAGGCTTCCTTCTGACGAAGAAAGTAGGTGCCTCGCGTGCCTCGAGACTGAAAAGGGAGGGGAACCTCACAGCGGGGAGAGTGATGGAAAGATGTCTCCCCAGAAATCCCTCTTCTGGGTGTCAGGCTGCCTAAAAAGACCTGTATGTGCAGCTCACCTGGGTTCCCTGGACCAACCAACAAAGAAAACAAGCGACTACGGCGTGTGGTCATCAAATACCCAAATACCCAAATGCGTACTTGGAGATACACATTTTTAGACCCATGAGCATTGAGACACACAATCTCCTCGACTCTGCTTGAAATTCACACGCACACACCCCCCCTGGACAAGCTCCTTCATGCAGGGAGACCACTAAATCTATTCATTGGAGAAGACATTTTTTTTTTAAAGTAGAAATTTGATAGGGCACACACATATCGAATTATAATGTCATACATCGGAAATGTATATAATGTTAGCAACCAATGTTACCCCCATAAATTTAATTTTTAAAGATGAGAAAAACATAGAAATTGGGGGGGGGGGAGTTAGGTATATTCACAAGTGGTTATGGTGCTAGTTTCCTGCACAGAACTAATCACATTGTGTACTTGCAACATTGTAGTTTATTATGTGACAATTATGCCTCCATAAAGCTGTAAACAGAAAGGAGAGAGAACTCCCCATAGCTGCCCAGGCCTGATGGACCCCAAGATGGTAACTACACAGTGCTGAGGAATTTGCCCCAAAGGACCTGCCCATCCACATGTTTCTTTAGCAGGTCATTGTCCTATGTCCACCACTTCCTGTCCTTTCTGTATGAACTTGGGCTTTCTTGGGGGGGAAAAAAAAAAGACTCGATATACTTTTGGGCCCTCAGTCAGGTCTGGGAGCCTCTAAGCACACACGGGTTTACAGCAGGGATGGGAAACAGGTTTCCAGCAGCCAGACTTCAAGGAGCCTGCAATGGTTTTGCAACTTTCAGGGCATTTAGTCTTAACGTTTCTGCTCTCGTAGGTTTCACAGATGGGGAGAACTCTGCCAAATCTTCTTTCCCCTTTAAAAAGTCTTTGCTTTTGGGGAACAGCGAATTTTCTTCTGGAGGGAAGCTCTCTCCAGACCTGGGCTCCCAGGCAGGCCTGGTGGCCTAGAAGGGACCATCCATCACAGCCTGGCCTGGTCGCTGACAATCTGAATTTGGAGATGACCCCGCAGCTTTCTGTAACTACCCCGGCTTCCCGAGGGGGGCTCACCTGGCACCCAGTCTGTACTGGAACGACCTTCAGTGGGTGGCCAGGTGGATGACTGGAGTCTGTAGGGTGCTGTCACCCTGCTGGCCTCCCCTGCTGGCTCCCCGGCCTATCTGACTCCGTTATCTTGCAGGTGGGGGCAGGCGCTGTGGAGGGGGAGGGGCGCCACCATTCCCACATCCATCTCCTTAAGTTGTCCACGTGACCCGCCCTCGCCGATCCCATATGGAGCCCTCCGCTTTCCCCTGCAGCAGCTCCCTAACCCCAAATCACTGCCTAATACTCTCAACAGGCTACAACTGCGCACTGGCTGAGTCTCCGCCCCCTCCCCGCCAGCACCCATCTCCTGCCTTTTCCAGATCCCCGATCTTTTCACAACAAGCCTCAGGAGTCATTTAATCCCGCTTCCCACCCAGTGCGATGAACCCACACGCCCTCGGGTTTCTAAAGAACAGACGCGAACCACGACAAGTCAAGAGAGAGAGTAGATGGCACTCCCCGGCCTGTGGTTGCGGGGCACCCCGTTCCCATGGCACTGTCCAGCTTCCAAATGCCCAAATCAGACTCCGGATTTCAAACCCCGAGGGGTCTGCCATGGACAACCTCGGGCAGCATCCCACCTCCGCCCTGAACGGCAGCCACCCCCTCCCAAACAACGCAGGGGCCGCGTGCCTGACCCCCCTCGCCAAGCTGTGGTTTTGCAGGATCCTATCCGAGTCCTGGGAGCCGGGCTCTAGGCTGCTGATGGCGGAGAGCGCGCGGCTTTACGTTTTGTTTTTGTTTTAACAATGAAGACCTTGCTTTCCGCATGTGGTTGGGGGGCAGGGGGATCAGAAATCGCTGAAACCAATTAGAGAAGCATCTGGAAAATCCCAGCCCAAGGTTTCCGGCAACTTTGCCACCTGCCTGCCCGGATTGGAGTTGAAATGCATCCAATAGGCAGAGCAGCGGAGGGAGGGGAAGGTGGAGGCTGATCCCCACGGAAAAGTGGCCCCAGGAAGGGTGGCCCCGGGGCCCCACCTAAGAGCTCGAGTCATGCAAGGACGGAACCTCTCTCCTCACTGAGCATTTCTTACGTGGGGTTGGATGATGTCTCCTTGTATTTGAGCTCTTGGGAATCTAGGGTTTGGTAACTTTGTTTCTAACTGGGGTGTGCGTGTTTGTGTGTGTGTGTGTGTTTGGGGGGGAGGGGAGTCTGCCAAACCGTGAATATAATAGGAAAAAGCTACAATCCTTCGCAGCCGTCCCAGGCCCGGCCCCCGGGGTAGGCGCTGGTGCCCGCGGTTCAGGCCGCCCCCGGCCCAGCTTCCGCGGGAGACCCGCTGCGCGGGCAGCCCCAGGCCCTTGGTCGGGTAGGGACTCACCTTGTGATTCTGGTAGGAAGTCACCGCGATAAACGCCGTCTCAGGAAAGACGTGGGTGCAGAAGGCAGTATTTTTTGAGCCAAATCCATTATTTTCGTCGGCTTTCACGATGTGTAATCTGGGCTGGTATTTGTGCATGGAATTTAGAATAATCTAAAAAATAATAAAGAAAACGAGATTGTAAGAAAAATGAAAACCCCTTTGTTTCCAGATAAAACCCCGCTCTCCGCCCCCCCCCCCAA